GAATGATATCAGTTTATTTGTATGATATTCTTTGTAGCTAGGAAGTTGTTCTTCGTCAATAGAACCATCATTTTGCTTTGGGATATTGTTCGCATAATTATTCATTAGGTCATGCAACTCTAATATAACAACATCATCTTTAAGACAAAGTGTAGTTGAAAACTCATTAATTAATAAAATCCATTGTGTTATAAAAAATTCAATAAAACAACTTTTTTGATATTGGACGTACAAAAAATGTTTCCAAGTTAGTCGTAACATAATAATTTTAAAAAAATCAAAAACTGATTCAAGATAGAACTTAATGAATTGTAAATTATCCGCTGACCAATTAAGAGTATGAGCAGAGTTAAAAATTTCATTAATTTTTTCTACAATATTTGGCCATTTGACTTGTTCAAGATAAGTGTAAGTCAGTTTTTTTATTACACTGTTAGTTTTTACAAAACTTTTCAAAAATATTTTATTTTTTGTAAATCTTACTGTTTTATTAAATGGTATATATCCAAAATTAATTTCGACAATATGATTAATTTCGTAATAATTACTATTAATTAAAAATATAAGCTGTTCAATGTCNACTATTAATTAAAAATATAAGCTGTTCAATGTCCATATAATTACATTCGTCAAGTTTTTCATCAGTCATACAAAATGCATTATAAACATCACAATTTTCAATTTCTCGTTCTTGAATCAATTTTAATATTACATAGACATGGGTATCTTTAATACTATTGAATAGGATGAGATTATCTTTTGTAATTTCTTCAACATTGTCAGGATTACCAATAGGAGCACTTACAATACTAGTATAAATATTAACTAACCATAGTGCTCCAATTTCAATCGTTTCTATTCCGTACAATGTATTAATTTGTCGTTTAACAACTTCATTATACTTAGATATTTTTTTGGCTGCAGTAGATAGAGTACATTCAGGTTTTTCTAAAAGAATTTGCGAAATTTTCATATGAGTAAGTGCACTAGATAAATAAGTACATTTTATATATTTTGCTCTCGTTATGTTAATCGACTTATTATTCATTAAAACAATTTCCAACGTAGGTACAAATAAAGTTAACAAACAGTTTAATAAATATAGATATAAAATGTTTGTGTTAAAATTTTTATAACACATAGTAGTGTTGAGAAAAAAAAAGTGATTGGTAAATTTATAATTTTATTAAACTTAAACGATTATATAAAATAATTCATTATTAATATTTTCTATAAAAGTAAATCACATTTTTTATTGCTAATTGGCATATATTCATGTTTCAAATATTCACTCTTCTATTATATTATAGTTTTAATATTTGCATTATCTATTTATATTTTAGTTAACTCATCGTTCATTTATTAAACATATTTTTTCATTTATTATATTTTTGATATGAAAATATTTAATGCGTCGTCTAGACATTTTTGCTTGGGGAATGAAAATTTTTGAACCTTACTTTACCTTTACACAACTCAACATATCTCACTATTATTTATCGCGTCTGTNCTCAACATATCTCACTATTATTTATCGCGTCTGTTTTACTGAACATGTCAAATATACCTTCTATGTTCGCAAATAGTTTCATTATTTTAATTTATACTTATAGTATATCTTTATATATTAATTAAATTAATAAACTTAACTTTGATGTGTTAAATGATTGAATTCAGTCAAAAATAAACTATCAGTCTTCTTTTATTTAAAATTTAGTCTGAAAATGTATGTCATTTTTTTTAACTTGTGGTTTTATATTAGATTTAAAAAGATAAAGTTGTGTTATAATTTACGAATTTTTAGCAGTAAAATTGATTAAATTACTAGTTATTGCAAATAGTTGTATAAACATTTTAACCAAGTCAGCTAACCTAACTATATACCATAAGAACTACAGAAGAAAATCTATTATTAATCATTTTATAATAATATTAAAAAACATAAATACCATGCATATCTGTTATTGCTATTCAGGACTTAGACAGTTTAATAGTTTTAATTGGGGTAGGTAAATTTTAACTAAATGTATGATGTAGTAAGTGTGCGAGTTGCGGGTATGAACTGCGTTGAAAGTCTGGAGACCCTCTTCACATTGCTAGTACAATTATTATGATATTATGAGATAAAAATGATTAGGTAAAGGGAAATATTAGTATATAGAAATATGTGTTCTATAATCCTTATCCCCCATAGAAAATATGCTATTTTTCGGTATAAATGAACGTGGAATTGTTGATAAAAACACAATGATTTCAAGAACCATCATCTCTATGAAGAACTCTAGGCTATCGATCATTCAAAGAAGCATTAATATCTTATTCTGCACTAGCAACATGATGATCGATTCCAGCAATTTGAATAATGCTCTTATTACAGGAAATTTTTATAAGTTTGCATCATACCAAAATTAATCAAAGGCTAGAGGTATGGAGATCAGCTTTTGAAGATAAGGGGTTTAAAAAAAGTAGGAGAAATACAAAGTTTATATAGTATGAGTTTGGTAAAGAAGAACACGAGGTAAGTGAAATGAGGAGATCAATGACAATAGGTGAGGATGTTATAGGAGAGGAGTAAAGTTTGAAGTATTTAGGATCAGTTGTGCAAAAGAGCAGTGGTATTAACGAAGATTTAAGAAACAGGATTTATTTACGGTGGTTGAAGTAGAGAGAAGCGTCTGGTGTGATAAAGTAGAGCAGACAATTAATGTAGCAGAGATAAAAATGCTTAGATGAATTATTGGAGTGACTAGAGAAGATAGCATAAGAAACGAATATAAAAGAGGTAATATAGGTATAGCGTCATTCGTAGATAAGAAGATAGAAAATAGACTTAGATGGTTTGGTTATGTTATGAGGAGAGAGGATTCGGAACCTGTAAGAACAGTTATAGAAATAAATGTTTAAGGAAGAAGAGGTAGAGATTGACCAAAAAAGAGATGGAGGGATGTTACTTATTGCGATACGAGGATGGCTGATGTGAGCGTAGATGATTTGGAAGATCGTGTCAAGTTTAGGATAAGGGTGGCCGATCCCAAATAGTTGTGACTAAGGTGAGGAAAAAGAAGAAAAAGAAGGAAAAGAAGAACAATGATGAAATAGTTCATTTCATAAAAGACTTGAATGATATGGTAGTTAGAGATTATATTCTAAAAGGTGGTAGTAATTATATTTGTGAATAGAAGAATTTAGCATGTATCTAAAAAATGCAATAAAATTGCTAACCATTGGTTATATACAATCCTGGTCTGAAGACATACTTCAAATTAATGTGAGTTTTATAAATATTTAAAAAATCTATTTACATAATATAATGAAAATTTTTTTTAGGATAATTATTTAGCAGACGAAAATAATGGGCCTATATTTTTCAACTACTCATTGACTACAAATAATATTTTTGGGTAATGGTCGAAGCCTACTAGTGTTATAAAATTATACATATATTCATTATGTCTTTTAGTTTTATTCTTTATACCTGTTAATTTTTTTAATAATGATCTTATAATCTAATATAAAAATATAGGCTGTTTTTTGTTCAATAATATATCTTTATTTAATAATAATAGCAAAAGTTTTTAATATATAGTATTTTAATACTATAATATTATTAATAACCATAATATATATAAAAATAATGTTACATTATAAGGATAGTACAGTCGAAATGAGTGTCTGAAAATATGTGATCTAACTTTACAAAGACATATACAACAGTATTAGTAGGAAAAGAAATGGAGGTATCTACTTTTATACGTAGGTCGAAATTGGTACTTTATCGTCAATATTGAAAATTTTGATAATGTCAACGTCTTTGGAGCTTCTCGTACATATTACGTACAGCTTACGAATATTCCTTTTTATAACTTCTGGAGAATTATATTATATGTATTAAGGGTGTAGAGTCAGACAAATATGTAAAATCGAAAAAGTCTTTATTGTCTTATAGAGTAGTCTTAGTAGTAATATCCTAAACAGATATGTGTAGCTCGTTAATATCAGAAGGGCTGTATGAAAAAAAATCTCTTCATTGTAAATTTTAAATCCGGGTTGCGCATTTAATATCCAGATGAAATCACTATCGATGTAAAATTAATTTCTAAATAGTATGTCGTACCTGTGAATTGATCACAAATGGCAAGGATAATCATCAACACCAATAGTGTATAGGTATTCACTAGGATGATGATACTAGAATGCTACACAAAATTACACAATTAGTAATAGCAATAGATTAATTGATGATTCATCATATATACGTATAAATACGTATAAACATGGCATAGAACCATTTGGTAAGGGCTAAAATGGTGGCGATTACATAGATACTACGACTGAAAGGATATGTATGTTAATAAAGTACAGCGATCCCATATGGATAGAATAATGTTCTGAATGTAGTAAGAAGTGTAACCACATATTAGCAATGATAATGGAGATGTTATCCGATTAATATAAAGATTACTAAGAATGCCTATTCGCAGATATGTATACAACAAAATATCTTTAGTGTAAAATTTTTATCTTGGCGATTAGTGTGCCTTTATCAATTTTTACATTTACAGGTGAACGACGACTGAAAAATCTTACTTTTGATCGGTGAATCATTTTGTTAATTTTTTTTTAATAATTATCGGCTTCCTAAACTATGTTTAAATAGAACTTTAAAGTTTTTATTAAAATATTCTTCTTTAAATTTTAAGTTTTACGTATAATATTTCCAAATTATCATCGTAAAAAAAATGTATACTTTTGAATTTTTCACAAAATTATCTGTCTATTAATAGTAATTTCATAATCATGAGATTGAATAAAAATTCTTAATGATCTTAGTTATTTGGGACCTATAGGCCTGGACGTATATGGTTGCTGACAGTGAATAGTCCCCCCAAGACATTCATATCACGTGAAGTGGTTGTTAACTTGCCGCAGAAAAGTTAGCTGAAAAGTAAAGTGACCGTTAGGATACTCTATGACACAAGGTACACCTTATAGTATTTAGTTTTATCACAGTATCGAGCTCTGCTGTGATGGACCCGTATTTATTGACAGCTCATGGGAGCAACATGAATAAAAACATTAAAAAACCACAAAACAATATTTACGTACAATTACGTAAATTGACGGCTTTTCACACAAGAATCGTTGAAATTGAAAACCCCAATGTGAACAGCGGGAATTTTAGTGAACCATCTACTGGCAAAGATGCGATAACAGTAGATACAGATCAGGAGTCGCAAGACTACTGGGAGTAATTGTTGAAACGTTTAAATTTAAACGTCTTAAATTTAAGCCTAACAAACCATGCAGGGGTCAATATTAGAATATTATATAATTCACGCAGATAAATCTACATCAAAGTAAAAGGGCCAGAAATATATTGCTAAGAACTCTATAGCTAAGAGAAATCAATACCCTTACAAATAGCACTTGTTTAGGAACCATAGCTACATGGTAATCAGATAAGATGTCATTGATTTTACAGTTTGCTCATAGAGATTAATTCAGATAATAGAAGGGTAAAAAGTGTTCTTTGAAACTTCTATTTTGCTCATAAGCACATTTACTTCACTTTGAAAATAAACAAAGTTGAAATGAAGTAGTATAGGAACCCTAAAAGTATAAACTGGGCCAACTACAGGGCAGATCTTTCACATATAAAATCTACAGTTTAGATTAGAACAAAGCACCAAAAATATCGTAAATGACACTCAGAATTGCATTAATTTGGCATACAAGAAAATATCTTTGTTAATATCCCCCATTTAAAACAATGTTGATCTAAGTTTTACGGGCTTATTACTGCTTTTTTCATTTTAATGTCAGTACCAAATAAATGTATGAATTCCCGCCTAAAGGAAATATTTGTATACACCGAATAAAATATCGTCTATATTAGAAAACGAGTAATTACTACTTTTACTTTCGTTCTATGAAGAGGTAATTCAAATGTTATAATATATCTGCCAGTCAAAAATGGGGAACCCACTATAGTGAAATGCATAAATGCATTTATGCATGACACATAAATAGCTGTAGTTAGGTTTCGCATATACCCACTTCTTATGTGTAAGCCACTGCCATACACCTACATATAAATTTAATCTTAACACTCATATCTGTGATACTTACTGTATTAGCAAAGAGAGAGTGGATCCCTCCCATTTATGACTATAGTCTTAACCTCCTAGCAGGCTATGGAAAGGGGAAATATGCATTTCGTCGCGATCTATACCAATCCAACCATATACACCACCCATTTATCTAAGGAGAGGGAACGGCCTTAGCCGTTATACGGTGAGCTCAGCGCATAAATTATTTACCTAATAATTAATAAGATATTTAACTTTTCAAAACAATTGCAAAGTTAAATAGTCTGAATTAATCAACTATAAAATTTAATAAACAAAAAAAATGTACCTTCTATGTTTTTCCACTTAATAATTTATAATATAATTTAAAAAAAAAATCCCAAAGTCCACTCTTTTAAATAATTATTTATAAATATTATATTAAGTACAATTTATATATACAATATGTAATCTATTAAGTACTTAGGAGATGTTAGATCGAATCTATTATTATTCATTATATTTTCGTCAGGGTGATTTTGATGCTTCATGAAAATTTTGTTTCTATTTTCATTATCATCAGCATTACTTATTTCCTTGGAATCGCCGATTTGAATTGCAGCATTACTGCCGAGCTCATATAGTTTTGTGTAAATATCTTTAGTTTCACAAAGAATATCTAAAAATAAATGATGATGTCATTTTTATTTGATATGATACACTTTAAAAGTATGTAGAATGCAAATATTCCGATATTTTTAAGTGTAAAATATCAAAACTAATTAATTTATGTTGCAGTTTAAATAAAACCTATCACTACAATAATTATTAGTAATGAAATTATCAAGAAAGTATTAACATATTATTTTTTTAGTAAGCATTGATTTCAATATTTAATTTTTATTTTGATAAATGGTAATTATTATAAACTCTATAAACCTAATAATAAGAAACATAAAAATGATTTAAAATTAAACTTTTAAAGAAAATACAAAAATATTAAATAGTAATAAGCATCGCATAGCTGGAGCTCCGCTCCAGACCTGGTTGGGCTTACCAAGTTGGGTCTTTGGGCTATCCTCATGAGTAGACAACTGATTCCGTTAAGAGTACCTAGTTATGACAGGTACGATAAATGTTTTGCAGGAAAAATATTTCATCAGAATGAGTGTAACAAAAACGTTTAATTATTAAAATCAGGATAATTCAAAAAGAGAAAAGTAAACTGTATTGGGTTTTAAGGTTAACATTTGTTAATGAGATATTTCCCTTGGGCGTATTCAGAATTTATTTTAAGAGGATATTGAATTTTGTTTACACTAGTATTACATGCTATAGAATTTTTTTTGTTTAAAATCAAAGTGATGATCAAAAAATGGTCTATATTTCTAGGAAGTTACCTAAAAAAATATTGATAGCGCTGGTTCAAGAGGGAAATCGCCCATATCTCCCTTAAATACACCCCAAGTATACACTTTTTTTGTTATATCCCAGAAATGTCTTTGAGCAAATCTGGTGAAAATTTTAAACCTTAAGTTGTAAAACGCTGGCGTCAGCGAGGATTTTTTCGAAAACGGTTGAAATTTTAAAACACTAACGGGCGAGCGGCAAAAATTTTCTGACTTTCGCTAATAATTTTTCCGGAGTCTCGAGACTGAGTACTTTGGTTGAAAATTTTTTTTGAAAATCCGAACACGCTAAGTAATTATCCCTGGGAATCGTTTTGTTCGTTGTTTTATTATATAATAATGTTAAATTTTGAGATATTTCTTAAACTTCTCATATTTTATGAATTTCTCATAAATTTTTCAAAAATGTCTGGTAAATTAAATTTTCAGAAAAATTCAACGCAATTATATAATATTATAAAATATAATAAATAATTATACCTACCTATTATATATTTATTAAAAATATACGTGTTGTCATAATACAACTTGCAATGAATATAAGATTTTTTGATGACTTTAAAGAATTCAACATGTTTTTTTAATTCTGCTACAAATTCTTCTGTTTCTTCCAGATTCACAACCAATGCGTTCAAGAAATGGTCAATAATATCATTTGTAAAAATCTCAGTTAGAATATTAACTTTTAATCTGTTATGATATAAAAATGATTTAATTGAATTCTGCAAATCAGTGCACGAATAAAATAGATCTTTATTCCTTTTATGAATAAAGTGGTTAAAGCAGTTAGACAATTTATTTAAAAATATTAAAAAAAGTTGTTTTGGTTTGTAGCCAAAAAGATTTAAATCGACAAAATGTTGAAAACAATCAAGTATTCTTTTACCGATTGAAATGATATTTTCATAGTATTTTGTATATTCTTGTTCGTTACTCATAAAGTTATATTTGTATACTAATTTTCTAAGAATTATAACAAAGAGTCTTACTATTAAAGCTATGGGACGAAACGTTGCAGTAAGTATTAGCGTAAGAAATATATCTAGTTCTTTTCTATAAAAAGTATATTTGACGTATCTAAATATGTCAAAAAGTGTCAATTGAATTTTATTAGGACATTTCATAGTGAGAGGTGCAAATCGAATCATATCTAAAACATTTTTATTCCGTCCGTTTATTATTATTGGATATTGTTTATCTTGAAAACTAATTATTAAATCTTTTTCGGCAATTTTGAGATTTTTCATCATAAAGTCATAAAATATTAAATTTGTCGGTAAGAATTCCCAGTATTGAGACCGTTTAATAGCTTTATTAAAAACTTTATACACTTTACTGTATTTTAAATTTTTTACATTATCATCTTTGCCGTTTTGTTCTTTATCTGTTTGTAATAATCGGTTTTTAAGTTTATTTGAAACATATTGAAATTTTTCTAAAGTATATTCTCTTGAATCGTTGTAATCAGGACAATAAATAAATACTTCGTCATATATCACATTATCGCAATATTTCAATAACCTCTTCTCAAACTGTTTTAAAAAAAAATTATGGAACATTAAGTAACCTTTAAGAACACTTGAAGTTTGATTTGACATATCAAATATTCCCTTATCATTTTTAGCATAGAAATCTACATACTTAGAAACATTATTTAAGTATAAATTAACTGATGTCAATTCATTCGAATACATAGTTTTATTAGTGTCCCTTAAAACATCTAACATTACTAGTACAATGTCACCATGAGTTTTTATTGTGTCGCCATATGTGTTCAAATTAAGCACATTATAGTTTTCTACGTTTTCAATAATTTCTGTTAAATATCGATTATTATGATTAAAAAAATTTAGCATATATTTGATGAAATTACAGTGAAAATCATTATAGATTGATCCAAACGTTAAATTAATGTGCAGTAAAGATAACATTTTTATTATAATCATATTTGGTCTTTTTAACGTAAAAAACTTAAATATAAAACTGTTTTATGTAATTTTCTGTACATTTACAAGCTATTATATAGTTCATTTAATAATTTTTCATACTTAACTATTTACCATATTTTATATAGAGTTATATTTATGATGTTATTTGTTTAAGTGTTTAGAATTCCTGCATAAATATATAATAAGGCAATCTTTTTTAGTATTTATTAGTAAATTTATAATAATTTGTATATTTGTATTATGAAATGTCTTAAAGATTGAAAATTAAACATTTTTTCAATTTGATGTTGATTTACATAGTAAAAAAGAAACAAAACCCAGACTTTCTTTATTTCTGAACGTATTTATTTATTGTTTCTCTTCGAAAAATATAATACCTCTTTCATTTGATATACTTTTTATTTAAATCGGACAATTTTCCCTTATACAGGGGGCGTTCAAAATTTGAAATNATTTAAATCGGACAATTTTCCCTTATATAGGGGGCGTTCAAAATTTGAAACATACGTATAAAAATTAGAACTATTTCAACTTATCTTCTAATGTTCGGTAAATACTGCGTCCTTTAAACAAATGTCAAATTAAAGCTTATATTACGCAATATAAATAAAAAAAAAAAATTTGTCCGGACACTGTATCTTCTATGTGCAAAGAGCTGTCGAATTTCAACAAAAAATGTAATATTTGTGAAAAAAATCATATCGTGATGTTTTTTGTACTTAAAACTTCCATAACTTAAAGAAATATCAATAAATCAAAATAATATTTTAGCTGTGATACAAAGCTGAGAAGGTATTAATTTTACTATGATGTGTTTATATTTTTGTGTCTGTCACTACTTTTTCTCATCTCTCGCTTGACCGATTTTTTTCAACGATACTTAAAACGATATTTATTCATAAATTATATTTTTAAATCTAAAAACTACTAATCATGATATAACTAAGGATATAGGAATTGATGTAGCTTTTGTAATTACCCACCAATTTCTTAGAAGTAAAAACTATCTACATATTTGCATTGAAGTGTTTCTTATGATAGTGATTTAATCACTAAAGATATCATCTATACTTGATCAACTATGTTACATCCACACTGTGATGCGACCCCACTGTGACATCGTATTTTTTAATGGTTATAAAAATAAGGTGTGATAAATTTGAGTCCGAAATGTTAAACTCAACACGTTGAAGTAAAGTAAAATAGCTATATCAGCTATTTTTCACAAAAGAAGCTGATCTTTTCTCCATAACATTTTTGGTACTTAATTTGATAGATACGGTTGTTAAACCTATAAATTAAAAATTTTGTTGGGATTTTAAAAATATAATTTTTTTTATGTTTTATAATCAAATACTATAATTAATTTTATAAATAGAAAAAATATTTAATATTCACAAAATGTCGTATCCTTTAAAAAAAAAAATTGTTTGTTTATTAAATTTTTAATGAATAAAACATTTACATTTTATGCATTTTGGCTGAATGATTTATAATGTAATATAATAAAAAAATTCTAAACTCAACCCTTCTGAATATTTTTTGATAAATATTATATTAAGTACAATTTAGAATAACAATATGTAATGCTTGAGGATATATCCATGTTTTCAGTTTGTTTCTGACGTTTCGGACTCATTGCAGAGTCCATCTTAAGAACCGTCTTCAAACCAAACACAGTTGCAGGATCACTACTCCGAAACCTGAAAGATAAACTGCCAGAGATGCAAACATCAGAAGTATATGAATTACCGTGTTCATGTGGTAAATCTTACATTGGACAAACAGGAAGAGCTATTGCGACAAGAATTAAAGAACATGAAAAAGACGTGGAGTACCAAAGAACAGAAAAATCTGCAGTAGCTGAACGTGCCAAAAACAGAGGATATGACATACAATTCGATAAAGTAAAAATACTAAACAAAGAAATTCATTTTGGAAAACGGATGTACAAGGAAGCATTAGAAATCGAAAAATGTCCGGAAAATTTCAACCGAGAAGATGGATGGAAAATCAACAAAACTTGGTTACCTATCATACACTAGACAAAAAGGAATTCAACCAACAACGCCGAAATAATTCAATATATGAAGAGGCTACAATCAGCATAACAAATAATTGCCGGTGTAGGAAAGGAAGACAGAAATGTCAAGAATGTCGTAAACAACGTTAGTCAAAAATCGAAATGTTGTCAATAACGTTAGTCAAAAACCCTGATACGGCAAACAACGTTAGTCAAAAACCAGATGTTATCAATTTTATAAAAACAGACTGTTATCAAGATAAGCCGCCAGTATAGTTGCAGCCACCGACTAGCAATCATCACTCTGAAGATGGACTCTGCAATGAGTCAGAAACCAACTGAAAACATGGATATATGCTCAAGGATTTCAAGCAACAAGACAATCCATGAAAGCTTTAACACATTCATAACAATATGTAATCTGTTATGTACTTAACAGAGGGATAATTACAGTTTATATAGCATCTATAATTAGTCTTTATATTCTTGTTAGGGTGATTTTGATGTTCCATAATATTTTTTTTTTTTCATTATCATCAGCATTACTTTTTTCCTTGACATTACCGATTTGAGTGGCAGCATCATCGTTGAGTTTATATAATTTTGTGTAAATATCTTTAGTTTTACACAGCATATCTAAAAATAAATAATAAAAATAAAATAAAATAAATTTATATTTATTTAACAAATTTTTAAACGGTAACATAAGGTATAAAAAAAATAAAATATGTATTCAAATGCACTTTTTGATGTTGAAGACGATTGTGTAAATAAATTTTGTGTACCATAATTTTTTAGCTATTAAAGTATTGCCGACGTAAATTAAAGATAAGTAGACAAAACATTCAAGATCTGATTAATTTTGAACAATTATTTATAAAAATGTTAATAATTTTTTTAAATATTACTAAACTATCTAAATAAACACCACAAGAAAAAAGAGGGATTCCAAGATTATATTGTTTTGTGTTGAAATACTACTCAAAATTTTAGTGTTATGCAACGGAAGCACATCAAAAATAATTTATTAAAATTTTTGTTTTTCGAAATTTTAATTTACTATCAACATTCTTAACCAGCTAATAATATTATTTATCACTCAATTGGTTTTTATTTTTAAGTTTTGTTGAACAATAGCAATGATGTTTATATCATTGGTTATAAAACTATCCTACGAATGAGGTTTCAGTATCAAACTATTAGAATATATATTGAATTTTTTTTTTTTTTAACTATCAAATGGCTTTATTATTCAAACGATAGAATTATCTTTATAAATATATTTTACAATAATTGTACATGAAAAAGTTTTCTAACAGTTAATAAATAATATACGTGTGTGGAGTAACACCTCCAGTGAGGTGACTCCTTAACCTAATTTAAAAACTAATTTATAAACTAAGTCATATGGTTTATGACGTTTAAGGCGTTTGATGTCTTTGGAGTTGTCCAAAAGTTGAATGGATGTTTTACTTTGCTTATATTAAAATTTTTATGTTCAAAAAATAAATTTGTCCCGATAACTTTTTTCTATAAGAAAATGACCATTGAATTGAACAAAAAAAAAGAAATCTTTATATAAACATCTCTGTTTAACATGTGAATATTTAATATTTTGATATTTCAAACTGCCACAACTTTATGAAAAATGAACAAATCAAAATAATTTTTTTTATTGAATCCTTAAGCATTTATCTTTATTTGATTTAATTTTTTGAAAATCTGTTACTTAACCGGTTCACAGGGGAGGATTTAAAATAGTAATTTTTGAATAAAAATATAACTTTTTCAACATAAATTTTGAAAATGCTCCAGAAATAATGACACTTTTATATACATCTTAAATAAAAGCTTTTTTGATTAGTCAATGACAATTTTAGAATAAGTATTCAATGAATTAATAACATTTTAATACATAGCGTGGGAATTTAGTGACGGTGAGGGTAGTTTATATTGGTTGGTAATTATATACTGCCAGATATCAATCAATACTTATCTAAAAAAAAAAATTCCTCAACTCTACTACGATGAATCCTAAATAAACTATTTAAAATTAGATATAGTCGTTTAAACTCGCATTGATGTATTGCCAATTTTATTGTTCAGTGTTTTCATAAATGTATACCGACTTCTTATAGGGAATAACANTACTTATCTAAAAAAAAAAATTCCTCAACTCTACTACGATGAATCCTAAATAAACTATTTAAAATTAGATATAGTCGTTTAAATTTGCATTGATGTATTGCCAATTTTATTGTTCAGTGTTTTCATAAATGTATACCGACTTCTTATAGGGAATAACAAGTTGATAAAATAAAAAAAAATAATGAACATTCATTTTCTATTTAATAATCTAGTTATTATAGCATGAATATCTATACAAAATCGTTTATTATACAAAGAAGTTCATGATATATTTTTTCTTATTGCTTGGTCGAAAAATTACAGGAATATTAATTAAAATTATACACTTGTGAGTATATTATCATAAGATTTTCACTGTCCCTTCCATGGTTAATAGTTTTGACGTTATTTGTTATGTAAAAGTGTACGACTATGATAAAATAATTTTTCAAAAATATCATAAAATTTTAAGTACAGTTACACATCTTTACTCGTATAGGATATTTCTTATCCAAATAAAAAAACTGTTATTTCGAATGACGTTATGATAACTATTTATAAAGTCATCTAGTTAGTATAAAGATACTATTATTTTTATTTAGATAATAATCTACATTTTCCCAATACTGCTTCTTGTATAGGTAAATGGAGACTTTAATGTAATTTGTCGAACTAAAAGCAGTCCAGCCCTATCGAATACACGTCTCACTGGACTGAACAAGTATTTGATTTGTCATTGTTTTTATGTACTCCATGTATATCGATTAATAACGTTTCAACTAACATTCCGAGAAAGAAAAATAGAAGCAATCTACGTGTAAATAATATAATTTATTAATAAAATATAAAAAATATTTAAAAAGGATGCATTGAAGAGGAAGACTCAACTAAGTAGATATATTAGGATTCAAAAAAACGTCGTTTTTAATCATATTTCTTTACCGGCGCAATATTTTTACGCGCGTCGAATAAGGTTCGTCGGTGAAGCCCCCGAGGATGTCAAAAATAATACCGTATGTATCGAATAAATAGTATTTACTGCATTACACAGTGTGTACCTTATTTATAATAAAGTCCAGCGTTGTATACACGCGCAATTGCGTGATCACTGTGCCCTTGAGGGCTTACGGGTTTCCAAAATCCCATAATATTTTCTTCATACATCAGCCGACGTCGGGTGAAATTATACGAGCGTCCATATCGGTACGAAATTTTCAAAGTGAGAAATAAATCGATTTTATGTGTTCGGCTGGACAATAAAATACTTGGGCAAACCGGTCCGCTGACACGTTAAACGTTCGGCTCCCTCCAGCCATGCACTTAGGGTTTCTTCGTTTACCTATACTTATGTTTAAACATTCAACGGTCTTCAACGTTCGACAGAGAAACATAGTACGCACTAGGCAACGGAATGAGCTGTATGGCCACGGAAATAATAATAACTACAACACATCGCATAAACCCTCATTCGATTCTTTGTTTTTATTATTATTATTTTTTCGTCGCCCGTCTTTGTCCTCAGTAAATTGATTGTCTATATACATTGTGCTATCTACAGATTTATACATTATAATGTTATGCTCTTTACATATGAATAATAGACGAGAAATACCAATTACCTTCGACGACCCCGGGGCCATGGGGCATATACCGTACCCGAAATACAAGAATCCCACACACGCCATCTGAAACAATATTCAAATTCGCCGTTAAAGGTGTTAAGGTCTGACGTTCTATCCAAATGCGTTGGATGTTTCTTAACAGATCACGCTGATAATTTATTCACTCGTTTTATTGATTTATTTTATCTTATTTAAAATTTCCCGAGTACCCTTAAATTACAATGGGTATATGGATGTGTCCGTCACACAAATTTTGGTTTAACTCTTCTAAGATTGATCTAATAGTCGATTGTAATTTTACTAGTATTTTAATCATTTTAAAATTGGTAAAATTTTTATAGCAGCCAATATTTTAAGTAATAAAATAAAAAAATACACTTCACTACAAAGAGATTCTACACAAAAATCTTTGTTACTAGATACTTAAACGAACGTTAATGGAGCTAAGTGTGTATAAGTTAAAATTGTAGAACATTGAATAATTAAAAAAATCATGAAATTAATATATGGATTTTTATTATTCTTTCTTAGAAAAAAAAGTACCTTGCAATTTAGGTAATAAACCTGCTGATTCTATAAGATAGATCGTGTAAAACGGACAGCGGCAACATAAAAATGTTGTCAAGAAGAAACGTAAGATTGAAGACTTATTATAATAAAATATTGTTTTACTACTCCCGAGAAATATTAAAAGCGAAACTAATGTTAATAGTAATATATTTTTGGAGATAATAATTTTATAGTTGTCGTTTTTGTCATATCGTGCGTTACAGACTTAAGCTGTTAAACTTTAACAGGTTATCGTTAGCCGCCATATTCATAATTTATGATTAATGATTACAATTTGTTTGACTTATGGATGTCAATGATCATAAAACTGTTCCAAGGTTACTAAGTTTGAATTATTTGTTCGACGTAAAATTAATATATTGTAGAAAATACTTCGTTATATGTATAAGTTTTTGCCTTAGGCTGTAGAGTACCATATAATATTAAACGGAAAGTGTCTTTATAAATATTCATTATCCCTTTACATTTTTTGAGTAATGATATTCTTGTCATTATTGTTTGATTTCAGAACACCAGAAATACTGTGCTAAGTGTTTTAAATAAATTATAACAGAGATATTATTGATTTTTATGAAAATAAAGATTGAATTTCCTAATTAAATGAACTACGTATTCAAAAAACTTAAAAGATATGGTATACATTGTATTGAATTTCTTTCATTGTACCTTTTACTTCTAAAAAACTCGGAATGTAATAATACAGTTCAATGTAATGGAAAAAATAGTAAAAGCCATGTAATAATTAGTACTCGAGCACACAAATTACATATTTCAAAATTTTAAACTTATTCATTCGGAAACTTCATCTCAATGGTACACATCATGTGTTCTGAGTTTGAATTATTTTAAATAATTCAAAAGCAGGTGAATAGATTAAACGATCGAAACCGTCATTCGATTTGATACAAAAACCAATTAGAACTCGACTTTGATGCTTCTAAAATGTAAATTAGAGGACTATCGGGTAACATATGCCGTACTGCCTTAAAAATCAAACTCATATTTTGATATGCTTGGACTTATACTGATCTACATTATGTATAATAATAAATTAAGGTTTGAATAGATGGTAAAATAAATAATTATAGTAACGCGTAACAAAAGGGTTCGTTTTAAACCTGTTTGTATTTTTTATAGGTGTGTTTTACTGGCACCCACATGTTAGAAATTTGAAAAAATATATATTTATTATTATGTACTTCTTTATTTAAAATTTTGTAAATCTTAAGTCTAAAATTGACAAATGCCGTTACGTTGTATCCGAGAAGGAAATACTATTTTCTTGAGGTAAGAATAAATATACTATAATTAATTCTA